ATGTTTAGAGAAAGTCTAAGGTTAAATAGAGAACGAAAACGATTTTCCCTGTTCCACGTCCAGCAAAAGGGGTTGGGAATGCTAGAGGAGGAACAAGGGAAATCGTTTTCGTTCTCTATTTAACCTTAAACTTTCTTTAGACATTTCATTCTATCGCATTAAAATTGATATGCAAGATATTAACTTGCCATGGCTTCGCAGGTGCCTTCCAGCTCATTCAGTTTTTAATACCATCCATAGTGAGTTGACCATTGGCTGGAATAGGAGAAAACCTATCTAATTTTGCTACATCATCCTCGATAACACACAATTCTGATTGGACAGCTCAACTCTTTGGTCGGTTTTGAGCTCTTCCATCTCTGCTTGGAATTCGTGAAGTCTTGAGTTCAACCCCGGCAGTGCTTGGAAACAGTTCATACAGCTTGGACAAACATATCTCATATATTGAATTTTTTTTGAAATTTTTTACGGAAAAATCTCAATTTCAAAACAAAGACAAAGGCAAGATTTGCCGCCGAGTTACAACAGAGTTTTATGAGAAGACAAAAGTCGAAACTACCTCTAGCTTGAATCTTATGGAGGGTTTTTAGGCAAAACCTCTTTTTCACTACAGTACATACGAGACTTTGACAAAAACACACGAACCTTCAAAGGTTAGACTGATTTTCTTACCTGGTGCACCGTTTCTGTTCCCCCGTGTTTTTATTTGTCACTTAACTTCTAGAAGCCGCTCGAAGGTTTCCTCAGAGTGCCATCTGAGTTCAACGTACTGTGGTTGTAAATAAAAGTTTTCAGACACCGTGTTAATACAACTTTGGCCTCTCGGACTTCAAAAAACCGAGTTGGAGCCCTGCCCCCAAATCATACAAAAACGTCAATTCTCGCTTCCTTTTTTCTGGAGGCTGCTGGTTCGCAAGTTTACTTTTCAAAGAACCAGCGGGGTGGTTTTGGCGGGACCTCCTCTCAGTACAACTGAGAAGTTGTACAAACACCTGTGGGAAACAGAAAGGGTTGTTGTTTCATCCCAAAAACAACTGGCATCCCAAACCGACTTCAGACAATCGACAAAAATGACGGACAGATACAGTCCAGACCTATACGGCGCCACTCTAGACGAATTAGACATGATTCTAAGTCAAGGCCCCATTCCTGCGGCCGTATCAGAATCCGATTTTAACGAGCCTGAAGTCCCGCTCGCCGCAATAAGCCTAAATCCTCCCGACGCATTGGAGCTTGATTTTCTACGCTCGCTTTTTGCTGAACTTGAAAATTTAGAAGGCAAAAAGACGCCGAAGCTAAGAAAAGCTTATTGCGCGACAATAGGTGCAGGTGTTATTGTTCGCCTTTTCATTATCTAGGCTACTTATTATGAAGTTGCAGATATAAAATTAAAAATTTAATTCAATAATATATTGGTAGGTACTGATCTAGAATAATATCCCAAAAGTAATAAAATCATCGAGATATACTACTGATAAAAAAACTTTTGCGCACAAATAAGCTACAATAGGTTTCATGAGTTTAGTAAAAACCCAAAGACTTGTACTTAGGCCAAAGAGCAATACGTTATATTGCCAAACACTGCCATTGAAACTAAATCTCAAGAACTTTTTCTGTTCCTCTAGAATAGGAAACGTAAGCATCTTGAAGATCTAACGTGGCCAAAAAATAATCTTTTGATATTACATCCAACTCTAGTTTAGAATCTTCTAACTTAAAGTGATCAGTCTGAATGAATTTATTTAAATTTTTCAAGTTCAAAATGAGTCTATTGGAGCCATCTGATTTAGGAACTGTAAAAATAGATGATAAAAACTGGCCCTCGCAAGATTCACACTGTGAAACTGCTCCAATAATTATCAGATGTTTAACCTCTCTGCACGCATGTTCAACCACTTTAAAAACGCTTTGCCTCTCTTGCAACATGTCTTCTTAGGGGGATTGGACTGAATTACTTTGTATGCAAAAGGTATTGCATATCCTTTTAATAATTTAATAAGATCAATGGATTTTGAGTAAACTTAATCCACACATTGTAAAAATTTGATAGTCTGCCAGAAAAACTACTTATAAATATCTTTTGTTGGTCTTTTTGTGTGGTACTTATTTCTTGTTGGATTTCTCCTCTCGTCCCTTGAACTGGTAGTGGTAATATCTGCTGTGGTAACTCTATCCGCCCCGGCGTGGGTTGTAAGTTTTGGTTCTTGTTGTCTGCTATGACGGGCACTGGGATTTAAAATCCCTATTGTAGTTAGAGCTGATCTTGGGTTTAAAAGCTGGCTTCTTAGCAGATTTCAAGTCAGTCACGTTCCTCTCCATAACTTTTCCCTCTTTAATTCTTTCTGCCGGATCCTCACCAAACAGCCACTCATCCAGCTTAAGAATTATTTAGGGCATCCTTGGTAGCAGTCCTTGTAGTGAAAAACCAGTTATGATGGACCTACGTGACATAGATTCTGAATGGTACCAATCAGCCAGTAGTCTGTTAAAGTCACTCAGACCCTCAATTAACAAAACTATATCTTCAGTTTTCTCCATTTTCAGGAGTTTAAATAGCGCTTTTGCAGATGCAGCCAAAGCAATTCCAATTCGACTCTGTGTATTTCTCAATTTTTCCTCTCTTTTCCTACCACTCTCATTTAGTGCCGAATATATCTATGCATTGCTCTTTGGTGGTTCTAGGCATTTACAATTTTTGGGCAGAAGATATTTTTTTAATAAGTCCTCCTCAACTTAGCAAAATTTAATGAGCCCTTCCTACTGGGATGCTAAGATATCATGCAACGGTTTTCTAAGCACAGAATCATTGGAGTCAGTACCTAGCTTTCGCACACTGTGCGATCTAGAGACCCATCCTGAGGCTCATTGATAGAATTGAAGAGTCCTGATGAGGTTCTTCCCTATTATCAGGGCCTAAAACCGAAAGGATGTGTTAGGAAATGTTGTCTATAATAAATAAGACCTGAATAAACAATTCCACCCATAGAGATATGACACAGATGGGATGTAAATATTTCATGGGAATAAACCATATTATTATGTCAAATGAATATCCACTGGAATAACAAACCTGTACTTAAGTACCAATGCTAAATATCTTGGAAACATATCTCCGTGGGAGAAATGAAGTCATTCCCTGAATAGACTTACTTCCATTTTCCATTACAATCCACAAATAGGGGATCATTATCGCCATGCCCACGGGGCATTGAGTATGCCTAAATACTTTTTTATTTAATAGGAGATGGAATTTTATCAAAGGGAGTACTTATGTTATAAATAACTCTTTGAATTAGTAGCCACAAATATTCGGATTGAACCGGATATTTTGCTTCTAACACATGAAAAAGGTTGAATAAAATGTCGAAAGCTTTTTGGGCACTTTTAAATTGGTATCTTACGGTGTCCACAACTACATAAAATGTCCTAGGATTTCGTAAGGAATCTCTTTCTACCAAAAGATGAGGCTGAATTTGTTGGCCTTGAGCTGTCGCCCATTTTTGCACATTTTCAATAGCTATGTGGATATCTGCTGAACTCTGAAATCGAAAAGAAATAAACCTATCAGGTAATTAATAGACATTTTAAATTTAGAACTACCCTAAAAATCGTTTTTTTACAATAAGAAAAGACGCAAGATATTTATTTAGTTCCTATATAAAATCTTCAATATTTATTCTCATAATTCTTACCTTCACATGTATCATTAAGCCTTCAAGTGCTTCCAGCGTTGAGTGTTTCCAAACTTCTTTTTTCGGCAATACTGCTCGCCCTTTTGGTGGAATTAAAATTAAATAAGTCAAAATATATAATTGGGTACAAAATAATCCATCCACAAAATGTGTGTTTGAAATACAAGCAGTAATATTGATAAAAAGTACCAACCTTCATTTGTAATATTTTCGATGTTTTTGATTTCCTCTAATACCGCCGTATTGTGTATATTTGATTATCGAAGGACTAAAATTGTGTTGATGAATCTATCCCACCGTTGGAACAATGAGAGAATGAATTTGGTTTGGATAGAGTTTCTCACTGTGAAATAAAGTGCTACCTACTTTATTTTACTAGTAAAATAAAGTGCTACTTTATTGCCTACCTGGACTACCTGATAACCTGCCAAGGTGAAACAGTTATACTCGAATTTTAATTTTTTTATTCAATTCTTTCAATTTTCAATAAAAACCAATCGCAATCGTACATAAAATCATGTATATGGGGCATTCCATACAAAATTTGCCACCAAAAATTTTTTTTCCATAAAAATATTTTTTTTCGTTGAAGTTGTCGAAAATATTCGATACGTATTTTTTTATTCTTATTTTTTACGCGTTATTTTCGAGAAAAAATTTTTCGAAATTTTACTTTCGTAAAAAAGTACATTTTTCCAATCGTTAATACTGAAAAACCTAATATAGGTATGAAAAAATTTCCAGAACATAAAATTTACCCATTTTCTCAGATTTCTAATGAGGTATACTAAATTTTCATCATATCATTTATTCGAAGAAAAAAATTACAAATTTATAAACAAATAGAATTTTTTTAAAGATGGACCTAATTTTTTTTCTTTTTTTCTATCGAAAAACATAGTCCAAACATTCTTCTGAATTATGGAAAAATTTTGGAGTGGAAGGCTCAAAAGTTAAGGAGCAATGCATTTTTATATAACGGTTCGCGCGCGCGGAGCGTACCGCAGCGCGACTCGGTCGTACGCAGGCTGCCGTGTCTAGACTTGTCGCGTTAGACATCGCGCGCTCGCACTTACCGTTAACTACGTCCCGGTAATGAACGCAAAGTGAAAATGTTGTCGAAAATGTCGCGATCCCAATTTAAGGATCGTTGTTGCAATCCATTTAACTTAAAAAATCACAGTGGAATTAGTCAGAAGAGAAATTTGCGTCAAGTTTCGGCTGCCGTTCTCAAAAAATTTGATTTCTTGCATTCAAGTGATGTCTTGTGTCCAATGTGTAGGCAGAAAGCAACGAAAATGCAGGAAAATGATATTGGTGAGTATTCCGATAATGATTCTATGAAATTAAAAACAAATTTTGAAATAATCCGAGTTTAACTATTTGCAGCTGTGGCGATCAAAAATTCCGTTGATGAAACTGTATACTCAGATTCTGATTTTTCCGAGAGTGACGATGATTGTTGTTCAATTTTCAGCAATCATTCGGAGGTCAATAAAAAATAAAATTTGATACAATATTATTACTCAAATTACTATTTACAATGATACATGTTTTAATTCGAAAATGTTAATTTTTCTTCCTTTAGGATGAAGAAGAATTGCCTTCTGCATACATTACAAAGCTTAAAGAAAAATTCCATCAGAAAGATGCAAGTAAATCAGATAAAATAAGTATTCTGAGCCTTTTGCCAAAAAATTGGAGTATTCGCAAGGCAGCGCAAATATTTAACACGTCAAGATATCTTGTTAAAAAAGCGAGAAATTTGGCAATGGAAAAGGGAATTTTAGCTATTCCTGAAATGAAAAGTAATGCATCGATTCGTTTATCAGACTTATATTTTTATGCGAAAAATTGAGAGATTTGTGTTTTCCACAGAGAAACCATTTCCTCCTGAAATAATCGTTCTGGTCAAACAATTTTACGAACGTGATGATGTTATTATAATGATGCCAGGTCAAAAAGACACAAAGTCGGTGAAAATTAATGGGAAAAAGTGCACTGTACAAAAAAGATTAATATTTGGGAATCTCAGACACGTTTATGAGAAATTCATGGATGAAAATGAAGAGATCAAAATATGTTTTGCAAAATTCTGCTCACTCCGACCAGAGCACTGTATTTTTGCTGGTTCCGGTGGTACGCACAATGTTTGTTTATGTCCGATTCATGAAAACATGAGATTAATGACATCAGGTACGTAAAAAATTTTTTTTTCGCTATTTTTTTCCGTAACACTGAATTTTTTTCATCTTCAGGCAGTCAATTGGTTAAACTGATGAAAGACAAAAATTATAGTGTGGCCCATTACGAAGATGTGTTGCTGCATTTTATGTGTAAAAATCCAAAGGAAGAATGTTTTTTTGGGAAATGTAAGACGTGTCCAACTACCAATCAAATGTCAAACAAAATTTCTGAAGTTCTCGAAAAAAGTGGAGTCAAAAACATCACGCACAAAAAATGGGTAACAAAACCAAAAACAAGTTTGGAAAAAATAACAGTCACTTCAGAAGAGTTTGTTAAAAGTTTTTGCATAGCTGCAAGAATATTCCTGCAACATTCTTTCATCGCCAGAAAACAAGCTTCACATTTTAAGTTCGTGAAAAATAATCTCGAAAATCATGAGAGTCTGATAATCTGCGATTTTGCCGAAAACTATGCCTTCGTTATTCAAAACGCTATAACGGGATTCCATTGGAATAACGACCAAGCAACGATATTTCCAATAGTTTTTTATCACAAAATCAATAACAAAGTTGAACACAAAACATTAATTATCATTTCTGACTGCAAGAAACATGATGCAATAGCTGTGTACGTTTTTCTCGAAGCCCTGAATCAATACTTTTCACAAAATTATCCACACATACGGAAGTGCATTTATTTTTCTGACGGCGCTCCTCAGCAGTTCAAAAATGTCAAACATTTTGCGAATATCTTTTATCACGAATCCGACTTTCACCGCCCTGCACAATGGCATTTCCACGCAACGGCACATGGAAAAGGACCTTGCGACGGTGCTGGGGGAACCATCAAAAGAATAGCACGCCGAACAAGTTTACAAATGATCACCGATGATCAAATTTCCTCGGCAATCGAACTGTACGAGTGGGCTAAGAAAGCTTCTTCTCTGCCTAATATCTCGGTGATGTACAGGTCTTCGGAAGACTATGCAAAAGCGGAAAAATTCCTTCAGAATCGTTTCGAAAAATGCAGAACCATATCAGGAACACAATCGTTTCACTATGTTGAGCCAAACCAAGATTGCAAATTGAAAATGAAAGTCTTCTCATCCTGCGACACTTTCGACATATTGAGTTTCCATAAATCAGAAGACAAACGTGAAAACAAACGTAACTGATTGTATTGTAACTCTCGGATGTATTAAAAAGCTGTATGATTGACATTTACGATAATAAATACGCATTTATTATTCCGCATGAAGGTTTAACGAACATTTTACCCAGCGCGTAGGCGTCAAGAACTTTTACGGTCCAGCCTGCGTACGACCGAGTCGCGCTGCGGTACGCTCCGCGCGCGCGATCCGTTATATAAAAATGCATTGCTCCTTAACTTTTGAGCCTTCCACTCCAAAATTTTTCCATAATTCAGAAGAATGTTTGGACTATGTTTCTCGATAAAAATAAAGAAAAAAAATTAGGTCCATCTTTAAAAAAATTCTATTTGTTTATAAATTTGCAATTTTTTTCTTCGAATAAATGATATGATGAAAATTTAGTATACCTCATTAGAAATCTGAGAAAAGGCGTAAATTTTATGTTCAGGAAATTTTTTCATACCTATATTAGGTTTTTCAGTAGTAACGATTGGAAAAATGTACTTTTTTACGAAAGTAAAATTTCGAAAAAAAATTTCTCGAGAATAACGCGTAAAAAATAAGAATAAAAAAATACGTATCGAATATTTTCGACAACTTCAACGAAAAAAAATATTTTTATGGAAAAAAAATTTTTGGTGGCAAATTTTGTATGGAATGTCCCATATGTTTAACGGTTACATAAACAGGCTTTATTGACTCCATTGACCTCTAACCTAGGATGGACCCACTAAGTCATTCATAAAATAATTCCGCAAACAATCAGGAACAATATCTTAGGAAAAATGATTTTACTTGTTTTGGCAACACCGCTTTCGAGCGACCTTGCTTAACCGACATTTGGCGCGTTCGGCTGCCACTGGCGGAGCGGTGGTCTGTCTAGGAATCATTGCTAGGAATTAAAGGAAATAAAACTTGCAAATTTATTAATTTTCAAACTTTTTATTTTTTCACAATTTTATTGAAAGACAGTGAAGTACAGGGTTATTGGTTATAAATGTCACCCCCCTGTACCTTTTTTATTTGGCATTTTAGGAAGAAGTCTTCCAAATAGAAGATAGCTGAAAATATGCATTTTTTTTTTTTTAAATCACTTTTGCATGTATGTAGAAGGTGTTCCAGAAATGCTGGAAGAGGTCTAATTTCCTTATTTTAAATGGAATACCCTGTATATTATTGAATATTCGAATTCCACATAAAATTTTGAGCAGTTTATTTTATAATGTATCTTATAACTAAGTTCAGCTGTTTTGGAGATAATGACAGTTAAAAATTGGCTTTTTTGCAACTTTGACAGGCTGTAAAACCTAAACGTTTAATTTTAGACCAAAACCGACCTTAGATTATTATCTCAGATTTCCATATACCATCATTTGACACCAACATTGAATTTAATTCATAATTGAAAATTCCAATTAAATTCCAACCAGAGATTGAATTTAAATGGAATTTTCAATCACATATTAAATTCAAAGTTAGTGTCAAATGGTAGCTTATGCAAAGCTAAAGATGAAAATGTAAAATCGGGTTTGCTCTAAAATTAACCGTTTGGGTTTTAGAGCCTGTCAAAGTTTCAAAAAAGTCAATTTTCAACTGTGAATATTTTCAAAAGAGTTGAACTGAGGTAGGTATAGAGTATATCACTTGAAATCTGCTCAGTATTTTACGTAGAATCCGAAAACTCAATAATATACAGGGTATTCCATTTAAAATAAAAAAGTTAGACCATCATGAGTTAAAAAAAAAAAAAACTTCAACCATAAAACTTTTATAAGGACACTTTTGTCTAAAATGTCCAATAAAAAATGTATAGAGGAGTGACATTTATAACCAATTACCCTGTACATATTTATTCGCCTCGAAAAAGAACAATTTTTGTATTAATGCTCCTGGATCTGCTAGTTCTTATTTCGTCTAGATGACGTTTGGTTTCATGGAATATTCTTATTTTAAAATATTGTTTCAAAATTATTTTAATAAGAGGAGTGGCATGGTTTTCAAAGAGATGGTCTTCAAAACAGTCTAACGGGGAGGATGGCAATTCCCTCATGGTGTTCATTATAAGGACATCATACAGGTGTTTAATGTTGTTGTTATAGATGCTTTTCGTTTTATTGAAGAACCTGAAAAAAGTCTCTGCAAATTTACAACGTTTCCTTACAAAATTACAAGCACTGCATATGTTTCCGAATGCTTTTCTTTTCTCAAAGGCTGAGCGTGATGCCAGATCCTCCAGCAAATCGAGGTATTTCACACATGTCACTGTTTTTTTTTACAGCTTTGACCACAAAGCCAGCTATATAGCCAACAACATCATTAACATAGGTAGTGAGATCCCAGGCTTTTGATGAGATCGCCTGATTATTTTGGATATTCTCTTCTACCTCTTTCATGAAAGGTTTGTACTCTTCGGAATCCTCCAAGCTTTCCCCCTCATCACCGTCAGGATCCTTAGTCAATTTGCTGGAGCCACATGTAAGGATTGTTATGTCCACCAGATTAATCGTGTTGCCACTGTTTGGGGCTTTCAGCTGATTTTGCACCATCAGCCTTTTGTATGCTGCCTGAAACTGTCTTGATGTCGGGTTATTATTGAATCCACCTCTCTGCCGGATCAGACAGAAAAACAGTTCCAAGTGGTCTTGGGAAATCTTGTATGTTAGTATATACTTGAAATACTCGGTTTCTTTGACATGGAATGTCTACATGTGCTTCAAACTGTTGATATCGATTAGGAAACCGATGAAACCTGTTTTCCTAGAACATTTCACAACAGGTGATCTGTTCAGCTTCAAATTTAATATATAGTCCTTCATCATATCCAAGTATTCGAAGATTTCTAGTTGATTTCTATTGAACAATGGCTTTTTGAAGCTATATTTTGCTAGATTCGTCTGTGAGTTGAAAATATCAAATAAGTTGTTGAATTTCAGAACAAAGTCTGCTGTTTCCTCAGACCCTTGAAATTCTACCAGTTTCAAGTTTTCTCGGAAAAAGTCTAAGGCAACGCTCACACTTCGGCTCAAGGACTGTGTAGCCAATTTAACTTTCATTTTTTTACGTTCCCATTGAACGTGGCGACCTCTTATTTTTGTAGCGAGAAGTAGGCCCTCTTCAACTTGCATTTCTTGAAGTTTTACGATGAAGGACCAGTCAATAATCCTGCCATTGGTACTATTTTTGAGGCCCTCGTGATTTGACTTAACCGACGCAACACAGTTTCTCACCAGTTTAACCATGTGGCAGGCATCTAGGAAAATAAATACAGGTTTTTTTGTTATGGGGTGTGCGAAATGGGTTTTTAGATTTTGGCATACATTAAAATTAGCACCTAATTTCTCTGCCATATATAAGTTCACGGGCGCTCCGTCAAAAGTTATGGAAGCAACCTCTACTCGGCTCTCCTCCACAAATGTCAGACACAGCTTCACAAGAACAGCCTTCGTACTTGCTTCCGAGCCGTCCAAAAAAAAAAATTCAACTGGAAGCTTCCATCCCCCATTCAGAGCCACCAGCATAAACACTAACACCTCTTTTGCCACTGGCAATGTGTCAGACTGAATATTCGACCCAATGTCAACGTATCCAGTGAATTGCTCTCCTGTCCATTCTACCTGCTTCCTAATGGACATCTCATCAAACACTAGGTTGCGCAAAATTTTCTTTTCTGATTGACTTGCACGTACCTTGATAGCCGTAAGAGCTTCTTTGGGGAAGCCTGGACTGCCATCTACAGACTGGAACCACCTTGATATTGTTCCCAGTGCAGGTAGGGACTTGTTAAATGTTTCTCTAACAAATGCATAAGCTCTCGGTAAGTAGAAAGCCAGGGTAACTGCAAATGATCTCAGAGTCTCGTCTCTCGAACATATCAGCAGCTGGACCAGATATTGTGGCCTGGAAAAAAAAAAACTATTTATGAACATTTCTCGCTGAGAGGTACTCAGTTTACTATATTTCCTAACAACTTCTTAGAAAATCTTGCCATAAGTGTGGATTTAGATTGCTCACCCATATACCTCTGGTCTTTAAGATATACCAAGGGACTTTTCAGATTTGTAATTCTTGCTTTCAATCTGCGAACAGTCATTTGGAAATTATGCTTTTCATTTTCACTTCATATATTAGATATTCAAATTTGTTCAGAAAATTTGACGAACTGTGATCACAATTTTTATTTACGTCCTGATATTATTATTTTCTGTCAATATGGCAATAGCGCAGTTTTGTTTCTAAATACGAGGGTACATGTCTGATTTCGATTAGGAAAAGGTTGTGGTGTCTATCCTAGGTTAGAGGTCAATGATTGACTCATTATTTAATAGCCTCGCTCGCAAGCTCGTTTGGTCATAAAATTATTCCTACAAGCCTTACTTTATGTACCTACTTGTTATATAAATAGCTATAATTTGAGTTCATTTAGAGTTAGTTGAAAGTTGAACCATTTTCCCAGTGAGCATGATGCAATAAGCATGAAAAAAAAAGAAAGAAAAACAAATTGATGATTACCAGGAAATCGCTTAATATCGGCCAACACTCCAGAAACTTCTGAATGGTATTTGCTTCAGTTTCCCTTCTCAAATTGAATGTGTTACACCATTTCTGGAGTACACTTGCAATGATTTAATTTGAGCCATAAAACATCTTCATTGTTATCAAAATCTGAAAGGATATAAAAAATTGGTATTTATCATTATCAGTAAGTCTAAAATACATTATTTTAAAAAAAGTCCTACCAAGTTTCTTTCTAGGTGGCTCATTTTCGTCCAATTTTTCCAAGTTATCTGTGGTTTTCGACCTGTTCCGTTTTCTTAATGATGTAGCCTCTTCGCATTTGTTTTGTAGTAGACTACATTATTACCTTTTTTGTTTTTAAGGTATTATTTTTATAGTTCAATTCTAAGTAATATAACAAAATAAATTGATGTTCAGTCTTATACGTTGCATTAACTAAATTATGAATACAATGTAATACTGAAAAGAGTGTAAGAAAAATTCGTAAATTAAAACTAATTCTAAAAACA